CTATTATGCAACACTTATTTAATAAACATAATATAACTATTTTTTATTTTGTAATTACATACTTTACCTTTAAAAAAGGTGTATACTGTTTTAAAAACTACTATGTAATGTACATGTGTATATTGTAAGGACAGCTGCGATTGTAATAAATTAAATTATTACACCCGATAAAGCAAATTTGTGTCCAAGAATAATTATTCCTAACTTATCCAAGACAGGCTTTGTTTTTGAAAACGAATCATGATAAAAGGAATTCTAACTTCAGTTTTTCGCGAACAATTTATATCGATTAAAAATGTGAGTGTGCGGTTACTACTGTTACATAATAAATAGTTGTTTTGGTTGAATCAACTCAACATGTGCAGCAGTACATTGAAAATAATAAATCTGTCAAATTGTATAAGAATAACTAAAACAAGCTATTAAACTATTGATTTTGTATGATGAAAACATCGAAGACAACGTACACAGTAAAAACTGTTTTTACAGCATTAGGCCTAAATTATAATTAATTAATTTTATCGTTGAATTATAAGAAAAAAACCCATCTTATTTGTCGAACATAATCTGAGATTAAAGAATTGACAAATTTCTACATAAAAAAGAGAATCACAAACTTTGGTAAATCTTAAATCACCCAAATAAAAGTTTTTACCTACCACTGCATGGAAATTATCATTTTTCCATACCTGTAAACAGTACGCAAAATAGCTCATTGCCGCTCTAAAGCGGGAATGAATCATTCCCGCTCGCTAAATTAGCTGATTTCACAGTTGTCGTTTCAAGACCAATCACAGCCATGGAGCTAGTACACTAGTTAACAACCGGTAAGAAATAACATAACCTAGATTACATCTTATTTGCATCTAAAAAGTTAATCAGTGTGTTATAATAAGTTAATTATGGTGGTAGGAAAATTCTTGTGTGTATTACGAGCACAAAAAGTTATTGCGCACTTAAACACAAATAGCTGTTGTACAATAATCCATCAAAAAAGTTCATAACCAACCTTTCATCAATTAGTTGGTTCTCTGACTATCCGTGATCACCAAAGGCGCCTTCAACAAATAAATTACAAACCAACCAAACGAATCAACAATCGCACTAACGAGAACTAACTACTTAACGAATCAAAATTAGAAACCGAACGGTTAACGAGCGACCATTGTCTTTGATCGAGTGAATGAAAAAGGAATGTCGACGATTAGCGGTGAAACAATAGAGGAGGCTGTGAAACACAATAGAGAAGGCAGCGAGCCAAAATCAGCTGTTCGACAACACAGCTGAGAAATGACAACAATGGAACTTGAACGGGTCATTTCACATCCTGTCAACAGTAGCCAGGAAGATATCAGCTAAACAGCTGATTGGTTAAACGATTAAACGTTTGGAGATGTCCAAGTTAAAGAGATGGTGCTTTATTGAGGTATTCCAGTGTAGATATTAATGTTTTATAGCCCCTGATATGTTGAAATGATGTAAAACTAAACTTACGTAATTATTTCCTATTAAGGGTTAATATTAGTCAGATTTATACATGTATAGATCTAAAACATCGTATTTAACAGGTGATAGTGGCGTTCTTCAGTCTGTTGTACTGTCATATAGTTTAAACTCAACCATCTAAATTTTTAATATCTGTAAATTTGTTTTAACTATCTGACGACTCCATCGACTGAACAATTTGCTAGTAAACGATGTCTTGTCCTTGAAATATGTACATATATTAGTGAATTGGAGTTTATTTTACAGACAACTGTGAACTGGCTCGCAAGTTGTTAGATTATAGACTACATTCCATTACATTTTTGTTTGAGATCGCATTTATCTGTTGAGATTATATAATTATTTACAAATTTGCATGTATCGATTCATTCTTTTAAAAAAATCTTCATGAAACCATTCTTCAATGTAAGTGAACATTTTTTTAGCAAACTAGAACGAAGTCATAACAACGTTTTAACACATTTAAAAAATTTACTAGAATGTTGGCTTGGATCCGAATCAAGGTGTACGAATATTTTTGGATGTAAAAACAAGGAAAGTCTTGGAGCGGAAGTTGATAATGATATCAGAATGGAGGGACGCAGTTATTTGTGCAGTGTTTCCGGTGAGAAGATGACAAGTAACAGCTGATCGTAGTCGCTGGGCAGGGGCCAGCGGAAGTGGCGAGTTAGCGGATAGCGGATAGTGGAAAGGTAAAGTGTCCACAGAATATGGTCTGTATGATATAACTTGTCTTTGACTACCTGGGAACAACCCAGGTCTTAAACCATTGGAAAGTCCCTTGGTAGACGGAGGAATTGGAGACAGGTTCCATCATACAGAATATAGATGGCGAGTTATTGGGAGACTTGAGAAATTGTTGTGTTAAAAGTTATTTATGTAAATTACCAATTATATGATTATAGACTAAGTCTTTGGTATGAGCAACATCAAAGTATAGACAAAACCATAATAAACCTATGATGCGTTTTGCATATAATCTTAAACATAATTCAAAGATTTATGATATTTGTGTACACGTAAATACAAATTAAGTGAATAGACATGAGTATGTTGCAAGCAGTTGATTTTAACGATTGTTAATATGTTAAAATGGTTATTAAAATAATTATTGGTAAGCATTTATATAACCAGACCGATCTTATGTAAAACCTCATGTTGTATATTTTCTTAGACCAATGATTCTATAACGCATTTGGATTTTTAAATGGTTGAATAAGGAAATAATTATACATAATGTTTAGCTATCTGGGAACGAGTTAAATTTTTAATTTTGCATAAACATTTATTTTGGTTGTCATTATTGTAACTGCTACGATTAACTGCGATTCATCTCACCATAGTCATAGGGTCATAGAGTAACGGACTTCTGCCCTTGTGTGATTACTGTATTTGAGGTTTATCAATCACCAATGGGTTTTGTTATGTAATGTGAGTTTATATTGTAATCATATAAACGGTAAAAGTAGTAAATCATCCAATTATTTTCTAGTATAATCAATTATAATGGTAAGAACGTGCAATGAAATGAATGATTTATTGTCGTTAAAACTATGTACAAAGTTCATGACAATCGTCAAACGAAAAACAAAACAATCAAGATGGCTCTGGCATTTACACTAAAATAACCTAAACTCTAAACCAAAGTACTCTTCATGTTTATACAGGCAAGCCTGGGTTAGAGTGGTTTTTCAAACTTGTTTGAATTTTAAAACACACAGGTTTTTGATGGAGGCAGGGAAGAAATTGTACATTTTAACACCTTGGTACTCAAAACTATTTTGAGTGGCTGTATACTAATGTCTTAGTGTGGACAGATTATCTTTAGGTCTAGTGCACATCAGATATCTTTTCAAAGTGAGGAATGTTTTCTTTTAAATACAACAAACTTGCCAAAACATACAAAGATGGAAATGTGAGAATGTTAAGACCCACAAAAAGGGACTTACAATGTGTTCTTCTATTCACACTACAAATTACTCACCACCTTCTTTTTTAAAGTATAAGCAACCTGTTACCATAAAAACTGTTGGCCCACAGTGAGGTATTATAGGACAAATAGCTATGAATGTGCCCATAATATATACCAATAAGGACATAAACTGAAACAGTGGACCTAAGTACTCTTATCATAAATATGCCTTAAAGTGTAAAGCATACCAAATTTCTACTGATGTTCACAATTACATAGCAAAATCTAGTTTAAGCTGCAAATGTTCTAAATTATGTATGAATCAGACAAATTTGCTATATCAATAACGTTTCGTGAATCTGATTATGGAAATGTATTAAGTGAAACCAACTTTAAGAAGTGAAAGGTCTTAATTAATAATCCAGTGAAGGATCCCTCCAACAAAAGCTTCTAGAAATACCCCACGAAAACAACTACACTCTCAACAAATAATAAACTTTGGATATTTATGCTCATTAAAACAACAAAGGTCTAACGTGCAAATAAACTAGCCTATCAAAAGACGCAATTTAAAAACCACAAACAAAAGCGTTAAATCCTTTGTCTAAATCACAAAGATCGCAGAAATAGACGAAACAAACCGACGGTTTTACTGTGTTACGAAAAAGAATAGACTGAGACAAAGGTAATATTGGAGGGAGTGATCATTAACATGTCAGAAAATGGCGGGAAGCCAACAGTGTTACCAACAATACCACAAGCCGACAATAACAATAACAAAACAACACCAGCTGATTCATTTTGTTTTAATTGTCTGAGTTGGCAGCGGAAAACCGCTTGAAATAGATCTTATAAAGTGAAAAGGACATAAGTACGACTAAACTGTAAACTCTGTTTTTATGTGTGCCGTAACTACTAATAGTGGGATTATGTTTGCTCTGTGTTGTTCATTTAAACAGTTGAGTTAATGTAACAATTGTAGTCTAAAGTGTGGCTTATCTTCAAAAGTAACGATTATGTACCGATCCTGAGAAAAGTCAGTAGCTTTTTGATGGTTCGAAACTGGACCCAGCTGTTTCTGATCGTTGGGCTTTAAATAAATGATCCTGACTAATGAAACCGCTGATCTTAAAAGATACACAGGTCATCATACACCATTCTACACTCATCCTTCACTCATATTTGGGTTAAAATACGCACCTAGGTGGCGTCCCCATCTCAATTATTGATCATTTATAATTGATTATTGATAATAATTAGATTGTACGAATATTTTATATTTTTATATTTACGTATTGACATGTAGTGTGTGGTGCTTCTTTTTGTGTTAATTTTCGGTTATATTAACCTATTATCAAGTAATTATAATGTTTTTTTACTCTAACTTTAAATTCCACGAATAAATAAATAGTAATAAATAAAAAATGTCTTTAATAAGCGTTTCTCTAGTACACCAGCTTTTTAGAACAACTTTCGTTTTTTTTTTAGATAATCTTAATAAAATTAACCTACAACCCATTATAGGGTTGATTTATATGATTGTACACTTATTCTACTCTTATTCTTCTTATTCTATTCTTACCTTTTTATTTTCTTTCACCTTCTGCCATTGGAATTTCTGAAAACAAAGAAATAGATATAGAACATGAACACGACTGGTGAATGATTTAGTTTAAATGTTAGGAACTTCTTTAGGATAATTATAATTAATTCCAGTTGAAATATATGTTCTAGGTTTAAAAAAAGATTTTTGTATCAGAAAACGACTATTAGATAAACATGTAGTTAAATTGCAAGCACTATTTTAGGACAGTTATAATAGATTTTTGTTCAAATGCATGTTTAACGTTTGATGACAAATACTAAAAAAAAAAAAAATACTAACAGACTTCCATGTAGTTATATGTTATTTTGATACGTGCTTAACATTACTAATTCAAATTTTAAAAACACCTTATGGTCTAAAAAGCGCTAACTTTACTTTAAGATGATAAATAAATAGAAGATATTTAACATATTATTATTATTTCAAATTTAACTAACAAATTTAATTCCATGTCAATACAAAAAATTTGAGATAAAAAATAGTAACAATTATTTGTTAACAGATCAGCTATTAATATACTTACATTATAATTATAATTTTGATTCGTTCTCAATTTCTAATCCAAGATTAAAAATTAGTTGGGTGTTTCAAAAACTATGATTAATGTTCCTTTATATCTTTATAATCCTACTTTATCACGCCCACACAGACTTTTAGAGCCAATAGAAATTAATCTTCATGTTTTATTTGTGAATAATGTCCAGTCGTGCTAACTTCCGTTCATAAAAACTAAAGGAAAGATCTTATTTAAAGGGTAAGTATTGAAACCTTATAAACTAATACGAGTATCAATATTCAAATGGTACAGAAATGTTCTGACTTTGTACAAAAATTTGGTAAAAATAAATTATTTTCGTTGAGTCAGTGGTTAAGGCGGCAACACGATGGACAACAATAAAAACAGATGTCTTAGGTTCGCAAATTAAAGTGTATTAATTAGGTTATGTGTATCAATTCACCCTTGCTTTACTTAATACGATTATGGATGTTTTTTCTACGTATGACTCAAAATTAACTAAGACTAACAATGTCCAGAAAGAAAACCCAAATGGGAAATTGAGACAACAAATTTAAGGCTTAATTATATTTTACCACAACTATAAATTAATATTCTTAGGCTCTGAAAAACTTCACACAGAAAAAATGCTTAGACTTTTTTATATACCTTTACAACTATTTGAATAAAGTAAATTAATTTTAATTTTAATCTTCGCCCAACTATTAATTAAAACAGAAGGTTAGGTGAAACTAAACCAAAACACACTTGGATTACTCAAAACAAATTAGTAATAAATCAATCAAAATGTTTAAGAACCCAATCTAAATTTTAAATGAAAGTAATTAAACCACATAAAGACTTTCGTTAGTTTGTGTAGATTATGTGGTAAGATAGAATGTCCCAATGAGAGCCTAAGGCTGAATGGACCAAGTGTCCCTCGAATACCGAAGAATATCTGGAAAATCCTGTAATTTACTAGACCCTTTCACCTTTCTTATTTCGACTTTCGCAATCCTATGATTTGATGAGGGTTTTGTAAACTGAAACTCTCAAGTAGATAAGGTTTGGTCCAAAGAAACATTTTGGTTACCTTCATTGATGCTTTGCTGTGGCTTACTTCTTTGATTCAAAGATTTACTGATTGAAGTATGTTGAAAAGTACTTAAACGATTATTTGGTTTTTTTTATAGATTAATGCTTTTATGAACTTTTTCTTAATGAACATTTGAAAACAGTTTTTACATCTGCGCCAATTAATTTGGGATATCTAAGTTCCACATTAAAATAGCTTTGTTTGGATACAAGACTGAAATTTGTATTTAGTTATCAAACAAATATTAAGTTTTGAAATGAATACTCCACTTAAATGGCAAGTATTTAGTTTGGAAACAATAAACCATTCCTACGATTCGAGTGACAATCTTGCAATACGACTCAAACTAAAACAGAGCCCAAGTGACATTCTAGGTACTGCAACTCGAAACAAACCACCCACTGACAATTAAAATCGGAATAAGTACTCAATAAATGTTACACTCTTCCAATTGAACTCGACAAAGGTGAAAAAAACACTTGTAAAACACTTGAAAAAAAAACTGGATAGAAATTACATTTTCAAGACAAAATTCAACTCATAACATTTTTGCAGCTAACGCCAACACAAAATACATAACACACCAATATTATTGTTAATGAAACACGTTTATTTTTTACTTGTCACAAGTAACAATGTTTTAGCTAGTTAGTCATACTACAGCTTAACACTATCGATTCACCGATAGCCACTATAAATGTAATTCAAACTCTAATGGTTAAAATGGTCACAATGTACCACCAATGTATGCAGTGATTACAAATATGAATTTGACTTTTTTGGGCCGTTGATTAAATAAACGTAAGAAATTCCAATTGCTTTAATACACACAAAAACATAGACACGTTCAACCAAAATTAGTCAGAAATGATAGACTTTTAGCTACAACAAATTTTAATATATGTGGAAGAAACCGATAACCAATATCAATTGAAACCGTTTCAGTTGCAACTCAGAAGTTACACTGTCACGGTTACAACTCAACTTAACAAAAGTGACAAACTGAAAAACAATATCAACGTAATTGCAACACTTTAGTTACAACTTGTCACAAAATACACTATCGCAGTTACAACTCAACTTAAGACAAGTGACAAACCGATAACTAATATCAATTGAGACCGTTTCAGTTGCAACTCAGAAGTTACACTGTCACAGTTACAACTAAACTTAACACAAGTGACAAACCGATAAACAATATAAAAATAATTGCAACACTTTAATTGCCAAATGTCACAAGTTACACTGTCGCAGTTACAACTCAACTTAACACAAGTGAAAAACTGGTAACCAATATCAATTGAAACACTTTCAGTTGCAACCCTTAAGAAAAGACACATTTGCAACAACTCGACACAAGTGACAAAACCGATAAAAATATAAATTGAAACACTTCCAGTTGCAACTCGTCACAAGTTACACTGTCACAGTTACAACTCAACTTTACACAAGTGACAAACCGATAAACAATATCAACATAATTGCAACACATTCAGTTACAACTAGTCACAAGTTACACCGTCGCAGTTACAACTCAACTTAACACAAGTGACAACCAGGTAACTGATATAAATTGAAACCGTTTCAGTTGCAACTCAGAAGTTACACTGTCACGGTTACAACTCAACTTAACACAATTGACAAACCGACAAACAATATCAACGTAACTAAAACACTTTAGTTGCAACTCGTCACAAAATACACTGTCACGGTTACAACTCAACTTAACACAAGTGACAAAACGATAACTAATATAAATTGAAAAAGTTCCAGATGCAACTCGTCAGAAGTGACAAACCGGTAACCAATATCATTTGAAACAGTTGCAACTAATCAGAAGTGACACATTTGCAACAACTTGACACAAGTTACATACCGATAAACAATATCAATTGTAACAGTTCCAGTTGCAACTTATCAGAAGTGACAAACCGGTAACCAATATCAATTGCAACAGTTCCAGTTGCAACTAATCAGAAGTGACACATTTGCAACAACTTGACACAAGTGACATACCTATATCAATTGCAACAGTTCCAGTTGCAACTCATCAGAAGTGACACATTTGCAACACGACACAGCTGACACGAAACTCTCGTTGCTACTGTCACTCGCGGAATCCTCCCCAAAGACAGATCACGGAGAGGCGCTCAGATGTAGTCGTTAGACAATGGGACGTAATTGGTAGGCTAAATAACGCCCAATCACACGCCTGTCGCCCGCCCATTATTCTTTTTAATTGGCGCCGATATCGGCCACAGGCGCTGCCGTCAGTCTGACTGTTACAAAGCCAATCTAGACTACCATGTAGATCCTCGGCTTGTCTATGTTTGATTGGTAAATATTCTCCATCTTAAAAATAGAAAACGATACGATAGCAAATTATTCTATACACAAACTACTGTTTTCGATAGATTTGTTGGACGGATATTGATATGTTTTTCATCACTAGGGTGTAAAGTGACTCTTTTCCAACCGAGATCAAGTTTTACGATAGAGGCGAAGCTGTAATATTATTTCTATCGTACCTTTATTTATTTAACCGTGAAAAATCGTGAAAATTTTGTTTACAGAGGGTGGCCAAATTATTAGACTAGACGTATGTACTGTGGTTTAATGCATTTTTGACTTAACTTTGAATTTGGTTAGAAAACGTGTTGTTTCCTAAAACTGTTGTTTCTTTTACAGTAAAAAAAAAAAACAGCTGATTCAGTGCTGCCAATGCCATCAGAATCAATACAAAAACATTCAAGCATAATATAAATTGGGTTTATACTGAAGTCCATACCAAATTAGGCAGTTTTATTTTAGTTTATACATGTTTTCTAACCAAATTCAAAGTTAAGTCAAAAATTCATTAAACTACTGTACATACGTCTAGTCTAATAATTTGATATCAATACATGTAAAGCATCTATACCTACATTTAGACCCGTTGAAGTATTAATATTTTTTCAATGGTAATATCAATTTATTATTTTTTGGCGGATTAACATCTAAAGCATTAACATGTAAAAAAATCATTTAATTGGAAAACTGTAAAGCTAACTTATAAAGACGAACATTAAGCTCAATGTTTTTTGATTTTCGCGTATTTTAAGCTAAGAGTAAGTGTAAGCTGTGGAATATGGTGTAATTCCTTGGAAGATTAGTTGATTGAGCAAGTTAAATTAAGTACTAAAAGCCCAATAGTTCAAGAGTGATTGGTTACATTTCGAGTTCTTTGTATTTACGAATGGTAACTTAGACCTTAAATTAGACCTTAAATAGTGTTAGTAGACTTATCATCCATCGTATTACAAAAGATGAAACTGTTTCCATGTCTGTGACGTTTAAGATTTGCTGATTTCCACTAAGAGTTTCCCTTTCATTTTAGGTTAAGGATTTGTGGTTTACGGTTTGGTAATAATACTAGAGGCC